ACATAAAATGCACAAGACAGGCCTTTGAGCTGGTACATCAATAAGGGTTGACCCCTTCAATTCACAGTAATTGTAAGTTAGCTAATAAGCCAAAATGGACCAGTTCCTGATTAAGAAATGACCTGTTAATGGTGTATAAGAACCATTCATGTCCAAAGAAGGAAGGAAACTGGCAACTCAAATGAGAGGAAAATCAAGAAAAGAACATGATAAATAAATTTATGTGAAATATTTATTGATTCATTCATTGATTCATTAATTCATCCATTCATTCATTTTCTGTACCCACATGTCCTATTGAGGGTCACAGGGAAGCATATCCCATAAGGCTATGGGCACAAGGCATCGAACAACCCAGGATAGGGCTGTTTGTGAAATATGAATCCTGATAAGGCAGAGCGTTAAGTAGCACTTGGTGAGATGTGTTCTGCCTGTCTATCCAACAAGAGCAGGTGGCTGTGAAAACTGACCTATAGAGAGACATCACAGCCATCTGAAAGCCAAACCTGATAAATGTGCTCAGGAATTACGGTGGATATAAAAAAGGGCTTGATAGAGGACTTCAAAGGCTCTGCAAACCTCATATAAGGTTCCACTTAGACTTGAGCAAAACAAGAAAAGTTGCACGATAACAGAGGAACGCATTTCAGTGGCAGCCGTGAAACAATGACGGGCAGAGAACGTGGCCGCCTCTGTCGCTTGGCACATCGGCCCAGCTAGTGGTGGACCTGCTGCAGGATGTGACGCCACAAGATAACTGAGAAACCCAAAGTACCTGATGGGTTTGCAGTTCAGGTGGAGAAGGAGACACAGATTCCTCAGGAGACTCAGCCGCTGGTATTTTATTTGTTACCTTGAGAATAGCTCCATGTGTGAAGGGGGGTCCTTTTCTGAAATACACTGCCTGGAAGCACACCCTGAAGAGAAGACCTTCAAAATGCTTGAGGACGACTGCGAAGTGGTGATATACCACAGTAAATGTGGGGGTGGCATGCAGCTCAGCAGGTTAGGACTCTGTGCCTGTGATCAGTTTAAGACCTTCGCTGACAGAGTGATTTCACTGTTAGGCAAAAGCGGCAAAGCCTTTAACCTCAATTGGACCAACTCCTAATTAGCTCCTAATTGCTTCGTCAATTCAGTGTTGCTCTGCATAGATGTTCCTGCTAAATTAATGCAGATGTTGCATCTTACACTGACCGTCAGAGGGATGACTGGTAATCAGAGCGTGTTGCTAGTGCATGTAAGGAAGCTACAAGCCACCGGGAGACTTTGCCATCTAAAGAATGAAGTTTCCAAGCTGAGTGAGATGCTTAACACTACAATAGTAGTCGTCAGCCTCATTAAGGACAGAGGCCTCATTTCAAAGGGCTGGGAAATGAGCACCTGTATGGGCTGTGATCTTCCGTATACGACTCTGATTTAGCAAAGCTATAGGCATCTCGCTCCTTGTTTTGAGACAGATTGGTCTTCTAGGCTGGCCTATGTTACATATGGGCTTCTGAATTGATCACATTAAGCATGGCAGTGCAGGGAAGAGACACGATGAGCTTCAGGTGTACAGCTCAGCAGCATTTACTTGGCACTTTTATCCAACGCGACTTACAGTAGAGGGAATGGTTGCAGTTTAGTTGGGCTCCCTGGGATTTGAACCTACAATCAATGCGTTGTTAAGACAATGCTGTGCTTGTTGCACTACAGTGAAAAAGTGGAGTGAGAGAGCAGAATGAAGGTGTGCAGGGACAGAGCTGACAGAAGTGTGATCTTCTGCCCCCTGGAAGACCTCCTGAGTACTGTGAGTACTTGGCACTGTGATGGAAAATCGATTCTGGTACCTTTCAGTGCCAGAGGGGTCAAGCCTAAGAGGAGGATCAGTTGATTGACGCCATTCAATAGCACAGGTTTGGATCGCAGTCTCTGGTCTAGTCTTGGGTGGGATATCGATCACACTTCCCCAATCTTCAGATGCTTTGAGTTGTATGTTTACGCTGTGCCACTAAGTGTGGCTGTGAGGACAGATTCTTCATGCTCACCCACCTAAAGAACAGAAGATGATGAGATGAAGTCTGTCTACAAGTATGTCACCAAGAATAGGAGGATTGCAGATCATCAGGCCCCCACATCACCAGTGCTAAGGTGTTTCCTCATTTATATTTGTATATTTGTAGGCTATTTGTGTGTGTGTGTGTGTGTGTTTGTGTGTGTCTGTGGGGGGGGGGGTTAGAAAGTCCATGGGTCAAAAAAGTTTCAAAACCCCAGCTTTAAGACGCCCACCCCGTCGCAGGGTAAGCTGCAGCTATGCAGCTGCAGGACTCCCTAGACTTGGGAGTTTTTGTTGGTCCTAAGATTTGTGAGTCAAAACACTGCTAATTGGCTTAGTGTCAACGGGGAGGTCTCCTGTTTTGCTGCCAAATACAATGAGCAATAACTAATTTAGTATGCATGACGTGGCGGCAAATCTGTGTATAAACACAGAATGACTAATTGTTCTAAGGGGAGGAAAATTCCCCATTACTTAGTATGAATTTCTGTGCAGTGAGGAAACACTGACACCTAGTGTGCAATAGGTAGAACCACAACATTTGAGGTAGCGATTTACTTAGCTTTTTCCTGCCCATTTCTGCACATTATTGCAGATTTTGGACTTCCTTTGCTGGTCCTAGGAGCCTGAGCTCCCCCTTTGACCACAGTTCCTCCTAAAGTTACTACCTACTAGGGTGTTTTTCTTGCCACCACACATAGCAACTGATTCTGGGCCAGATCTGCCCGCATCTTCTTAAATCTGGGTGCCAGTGACATTCAGGGAGGAGAGTCTGCACCAGAATCAGTCCAGAGTTCTAAATGCTTACAGTTGGTCTGTATACACTCTGCAGATCCAGCATGCATTCGCCTGATCATACATGTATGATCAGTCACTTACCAGATGCGCAGCTGATGCGCTAAGAATCTGAGGGGCGATCGCCTCACATAACAAGATGAGTCTGAACCGAATCTGGGCCAAATGTTGTTCAGAAATCGCCAGAGATCTGTAAACTGGATCTGTTCTGGCCTTTATCTGCACCAGAGTCAAAAGTCAGTTTCAGAGTTGTGAGGGGCTGGGTGAGCTAAGTGTCTGTGTGTCTGAGCAGAAGGTTGCTGGTTCAAGCCCTTGCCTCCATGCGGGGAGCTGTGCAGTAGTTGACCTTGCATTGAGACCCCCATGCTTTGGAGAGTAAAATGGGGTCAGTGACGAGAATCATTCCAATATATCATGTTTGTTAAATGAGGCTCAAACTCATTTTTTCCAGACTGACTGACCAGTTCTTGTCCAGGATCCCAGCTTAACATGTGGATGGCGAATGGCTCAGCGGCGAAAGTCTCTGCGCTCGTGAGCAGAAGGTTGCTGGTTTGAGCCCAGGCCCCGGTGGCTTGATCATGTGTCTGTGGAGCCTTCAGCAAGGTCTTAAAACCCCAGCTCTGCTGCATGTATGCAAGATGGGTGAGGAGAAGCAGTGTGTTCCAGAGTAGCTGCAAATAAAAGCATTGATTAAGTTGTGTGCTCCAGGATCCCCAAGTAAGAACTTAAGCTTGTATTTACATAGCTATACTGGAATGCTTTTCTTTCTTTCAGCACCACCATTCCACCAGGGCTAGGGCTCGAACCAGTAACCTTCAGCTCATAAGCACAGAGGCTTAGCCCACTGAGCCACTCACTACCCTGTTAACTCAGGACTATGGAGCAGAACTGGTCAGTTTACATCCTTGTATGAGCAAACATACAAGGATGTTTTTTAATATTATTAATGTCTTGTACTATTGTGATGCCATTGGTTATAAGGACTGGTTTGGGACAAAAACTTATATGTCAGTAAGGTGTAAAATAAGGTATAATAAATTTTATTGATCACAGAGGAAAATTCTTGTATTTGAATGTTAAAATGACGTATCTGTTTGGTTACTTGATCTCAAATGACTACATTAAATTCAAATAATTTTTCCTTGATTTTTATTGAATGTTGCTGAGATCATTTAACTTTAAAATACACACATACAATACTATGGCACACCACCAAGCACACAAAAAATCAAACCTGTAAATACACAACACCATATTTATTTAATAAAGTTAATACAACAAATAATACAGTCAAGAAATGCACATTATAAGGCAAAGAGGATAGCAGATTATATACAATTTACAGATAGCTTTGTTCATATCGACGACATGAGCCATTTAAAACGGCGCCGACTGGTGGACATTATCGGTATTGCAGACTAGTGTTCTGCCTTGCCAAGTTGTCCGCAACTTTTCAATTATTGGCTGTAAACGTAATTTAAATAATCGTCACACGCACATATAAAGCTCTGAAAAAATTGAGACCACAGCAAAAAATTTTATTTCACTCATTTCTCAATTTATGGGTATTTTTTTTTTATAAAATATACATTGTTACGCAAACTGCAGCCTGGCTCTTCCCTGCTTCTCATTAATGAAGGGCTTCTTCCTTATTTTATGGGACTGCAGTCCTGCTTCTAGCAGCCTGATACGAACTGTCCTAGCAGTGCACTTCACACCGCTTAATGTTTCTCATTCTTTTTGAAGGTCACTTGAGGTCATCCTCCGATTTATGAGGCACTGTCGGATAAGTTGATGATCATCTCTGCCATTAGCAAGTCTCTTCTGCCCTCTCCCTGGCTGGTTTCTGGTCGTTCCTAGTGTCTCCTGCTTCACCTTGTTCCTGTGTACTGGTGTCTTAGAAACTTTGAGCCTGGAAGCAGCCTGCCTCGCAGTGTAGCCTTCTGCTACCAGAACCAGGATCAAACCAGGATTTAAAAATGCATATTTTTAAAAAATACAGAGTGGTCTCATTTTTTTTCCCAGAGCTGAATGTGTTCTCCATACCTGTGCTTTCTGATAAGGCTTCACAAAACTGTCTGCCAAATGAACAGATTCTTGAGTGCTTAATGTGACACCTGCTATTGACATTACGAGCTTCTGTAACAGACTACCATTACTCACCAACTCGGATAAAATCATGTTTTTTGTGTTTTTATTTTGTGCTTTGCAAGCATATTTTTCTTTTCACCTCCTACAATGCAACACACGTGTAAACATTAACATACATTTCAGATAAAATTGGTCTCTGGACATCAGACAGCCATTGAATTTTCAGGCATAGAAAAACAGTCCGGTTTAGAACACAGCTCTAGAAAAGACAGACATTCCAGTTTAAAAACTCACCGATTTCTTCAAACACAGTGAATGACAGATGGTGTGTGATATTTACTCTGCTGCTCAGAACACATCTTTGTGGGACTGGGATTTCTGCTATAATTAACTTGCAAGGAAATGGGGCCTTTTCAAAACAGAAGAATAATTAAAATTTAAAAACAAGAAACTCTGGCATTTACTTTAGCCTCACTGTGGTGCATTTGTCCTTGGGCACAGGCTCATGGGAAGGAGGAGGTCAGCCAAGCACGTTACTGCAAAAATACCCACAATGCCATGCGAACTGTGTTTGTAAGGCAAGACAGGGGGCCCACATTAATGTTAGCATTATTATCTAGTTCATGAAAAAATATCCTCATCCTCATTTTTTAGTTATATGATCACAGATATGATTGGGGGTGGGGGGTAGATTAATTTGGGTGCCCCTGGTTTCAGACAGGTAGGAAACCCACATCTCTAAAAGCACATGTAAAATTTTCTTATGTACATACTTATACAGTAAATTATTTTGAAATTGTCTTGCATGTTTAACATTGTACCAGAGCACTCACAAGGCAAATCCCTCAATACATTTAGTATACTTGCCCAATAAAGATATTTCTGATTCTGATTCTACTTGTAAGAGACAAGACAATCTGTAACTGACGTGAGGTGTCACTGACCTGAGAGGAACCATCGTGTTTGGGCCGTCGAGTCTGTCTATGTCACCTTGCTTACAGGCGCTCAAGGGGGTGAGAAAGCCAGGCGGGTCGGAGAAGGGAAATCCCGTTATTATTCACAAACATTTTGGCTTCCACAGGCCAAGGAGAACAGTAGACCATGTAGAAAGCTGGATAAATCGAAGCACGAACTAACAGAATGTTATGTGGAGCAGTGCCTGTCACATGTAGCTCTTTGAGGGATGTATTCCTCTTACTGTAACCAGCCGGTTGCTTTCTGACTCAGGTCTGGACTCACCTACTGCCCTGCTGAGCTCGGCCAATCGGAAAAGCCCTCGCGGCTACTGCCCTGCTGAGCTCGGCCAATCGGAAATGCCCTCGCGGCTACTGCCCTGCTGAGCTCGGCCAATCGGAAAAGCCCTCACAGTGGCAACGCTGGCCTGACATCACATATCCATGTAGTGTAATCATTTACCTAATGACGTGGCCCCAACCAAAGACGGCCTGGTGTGTTTTTAACTGATATCAGGCCAGGGCTGGTTTAAAGTTCAGCTGCAGAAACTCGATAGCAGACTATTGTTAGCTAACGGTTGGAAATCCTCTTGTAACAGACTCAGTGTAATTCAGCTTTGCATGTTAACTGCTACTATTAGGGTGACTCAGTGAGCAGTGCTACTGTCTCACACCTCCAGGCCTTTGGATGAGGGGGGACTTTCCTGTCCACAGCTTTTTGTGCGTCTACAGCTGAATTTTTTTTTTACTGTTGTGGGGGAGTTGCCAAGCTCTTGTGAATCTGCTTCATATATAAAGCAACATTCTTCTGGCCTTCCTAGAGAACTCAGTAATGAAAGAAAAGATTCTTGAAGCTCATAAAAAATTAGATTGATTTTTCGTTTTTTTTACACAGCTGTGCTTGGTTTGTAAACGAGAGGTCTGGAACGTCGTCTTTGAAAGTCTTTCACTGTGGTCATTAAGTCCCAGAGATCCAGAGGCGTTAGAAGGACAAGAAGGAGAATCCCAAGCAGCGGGAGGAGCAGTGGGAAGGCAGGCTGACGGATGGGAGGTCAGGCCGGTGTCTGTTGGCCACGCAAGCAGCTTCAGATCAGGATGTTTGGAAGAAACCAGGAGTCACTCTACTGTGCTTTGGCTGGGATTTACGGAGAGTCGAAAAGGAAACATTCTGAAGTCTGCAAGTGCTACAGGTATGCACACACCCAAGAAAACTGACGTCACAGAGCGTAGGGAAGGAGCACGATGAAGACAGCACATGCAACGGGGCACAAATGGCAGGCCCTGATGGTACGACACACAAGAGGAGTGGTGAGGTAGGATACGTCTCTACATTCGAAAGGACAGGGGGGGCTGGGCCATCCAAATCAGCCCGGCAGCGATGAGGGCTGCCCAACCCGCCAGCATAAAGCAGATGGACCTCCAAGAGCCTTACTGAGCATCAATGCAATTGGGCCCTACGACTGGCCCTACGACGGGCCCTACGACTGGCCCTACGACTGGCCCTCAAGCGCGATCCTTGGCAAGCAGCTCCTCCAAGCTTATATTCCAGTTTAAAGTGGGTAGAAAACCCCCCTCCTGCAGCTCACGGGAGGAGAAGGCGGGGCCCTGACACAAGGAGTATGAGAACAGCAAACGCAGAAGCGGAAAGTGTCAGGAGGCATCATGGACAACGTCACACGTCTCCTTGTGGCACTACTTCCATTCAGTGCCACTCGGAGGCGCTGTTGCCTTACAGGAGTGCGGGAGTGAAAACTAACAGGCAAGTTTCTGGGGCCACACCGAGCTCCCGAGTATTTTACCATATGCACTCATACGGAGTAATAAACCCTTCTTTAAATACCTTCAGATTCTGTATTACTTACATCAATATTACTTTATCTGTGGAATCATCATATATACATAAGAATATATATATATATGTACATACATACACAAACATTACATTTTTTACACAACATCATATCGTCATATTGTAAGCAGTGAAAATATTGGTAAAAATACTAGTGAAAAACTAGTAAATATATCTGAAATCATACTGAAAACATACATTCCAGTCGATAAAGAAGAGCTACATGTTGAGCTTATACACTGAAAGTGCGCTAGAGTGCCCTCTGCTGGAGAAGGGTGTTAGTGGCGCATCACCCTACCAAGCGCACCTCTGGAGTCCATGTTGCCGGGGTTCATACGGAGTAGCATCCTTCATGGGTGTGCGCCAACGTCAGTGAGGCGTGGCGGCTTTACCCGTCCTCCGCTGGGGGAAAGAGCATTTCGATGCATGCAGAGAAGCAGGGGTGATGGTTTTCTCCATAGAATCCTCCAACAGAAGGAGCAGGACCTCCAACCGGAGCTCCATGTTGACTGGCCCAGTTGGACCTGCTGTTCATGCACAGGCAACGGACGGATTACAGCTGATCCGACTGCTCCCTGGGGCTGGCGGGGGTCCTCTCTGGATGGATGGACTCGGGTGGGGCTGATCGGGCCTCGTATGGGGGAAGATCCCTCTGGGGCGGAGCCTCCCCGTCAGGGTGGTAGGGCGGAGGCGGGAGGTCAAACCAGGGGGGGCGGCTGCGGGTAGCGAGAAGAGGTGGATTGGGGGTTTTAGAATGTTCTAGAAAAAAAATGCAGCTAATGGAAAATGTCCTGATAGGATTAAGAAAAGTGAGGGAAGCTCCTTATTTCTCTTTCATTAGACGGAGCCGTAAAAACTCTGGGAACGAGTATGAAATCGCACCCGAAAAAGGCACTTAATTCCTCTGCTAATAACTTGACTGGGTTATCCTTTTTGCAAAAGCTTTAAATGTCCAGTATAGCCAGGGGAGGTGGGGGGGGGGGTTATAAGGAACCGAGTCAGGCTAAAGGGAGGAGTGGGGGCGTACCTGACGTCCAGCACGGCCTGGGAGTAGGAGGGCGGGGAGTCCATGGGGTGCCCCGCAGGGTAGAGGGCGCTGGAGAGCAGGTGGAGGCTGGGGCGGCTGCTGAACATGCCGGAGGTGGGCGACAGGCCCGGGGCGTGGGCCCGGTCCAGGATGACGAGGCGGGACAAGAGCAGCGGCTGCTGGTGGCCCCCGGGCCGCACGGCCCGCGGGATCAGCATACTGCGTTTCCGCTGGTGATGCAGCACCAGGGCCAACAGCGCCACCACCAGGACGAAGATGACAGCGCTGCCGATGACGGCGTACGTGATGCTGGGGTAGTAGCGCAGTCGGTAGTCCAGCGTCACAAAGTCCTGCCTGGGAGCCTCTGCAAAAAGAAAGGGGGGTGGGGGTAAGAGCTCAGTCCCGCCAGCTGACAGTGGAGCACTGTCTCCCGCACTGTCTCCCGCACTGTCTCCCGCACTGTCACCCGCACTGTCACCCGCACTGTCTCCCGCACTGTCTCCCGCACGTACAGAAGGACAGTGTGCGTCCGTGAGAATGACATGACTACCCAGATGCAGCCGCCGTGAAGACAGAGGGATGCCCTTGTTACCCCCCCCACCACAATCCCGGGTCAGTGAGAAACATACCCCCCCCCCACACAGGAAGCACACGTGAAACAAAGATGGCTTCACCATCCTCTGGGGGCCCAGGATGCTTGTGAGCTCCGTGTCCTTTTGCTCACCCGGAAGCCAGGGGTGGGGGGCAGCTGGGGGCACCGCCTTTTTATGCCCATATGGTGTATCCTTTTGTCTTGGTGGGGGAGGGGGGGTGGTGCCTTGTGTCAGGGCACGCAGAAGCCCAACAGGGAGCTCTGTATCCATGGCAACCTGTTGTGAACCTGACCCCACGACCGGGGCCGGTAGCAGGCCATGCCCCGCCTTCCCCCGCCCGGCTGGCCAGCCAATGAAAGAGCCCCTCTGAATGGTGGTGGTCGCCTCCTGCGGCCACAGAGCCTAATTATGAGACGGCCCCGGCTGGGCAGGGGACAAGGGGAGGGTAAATACAGCGGCCACTGACCCGCCATGGGGCTGATCTCAGTCATGCAGGCGGAGGCTGGAGGCCATAACGGCATCGGGGAGATCAGATCATGCCGAGCACTTTGCCACATCACCCCGAGGATGGCGATCTCTAAAACATCGCCGGGCTGATGGCAGGAGCGGGACAGCGCCGTCACCCCCTCAGGCGGAAATCCCGCAGATTGGGACCTGCGCTCTGTCTCCGTTTCTCTCGGTCTGTTTCTGATTCCACGTCACATCGCTGCCCTGGTGCAGATCACAGGCCTGTGCTGCTCCTTTAAACTGCAGGATGTTTTATAACCCTGCAGGATTTCAAGTGGCTCCGATCCCATCCGGCATGATTCGGCTCTACCTGCTCAGCGTAGCTCTGTCACACACACACAGATAAGGGGTCTCCAGCCACCACCCACACCCACACACACACATTTGTATTCATGTCTTTGTGGGGACCGTCCATTCATTTCTATAAGAAAGACCCTAATCCCAACAATGACAACCCTACCCAGCCCTAACCTTAACCATAAACAACCAAATAAAGTTTGAGACTTTTGGCATTTTTAGTTTTTTGATTGCATTCACAGATTTTTATAAAACTGAGTTTCCCAAAAAATGCCCCCCACAATGTCAAAATAATAGGCTTTTATCACAGTTCTGGAGCCCCCAGTTTCAGTTTCAGACCCTGTAAATTGACTGCCCGTGGGAGGTGGGGGGTGGAACTCGGGGTGCCACGGCGACCTGCTGCCCCACACACCCCGCTCTGCTAAACCCTGTGATCCGTGATACACTGTAACGGCCATGGGGAGTCGCGTAATCAGCTCCCCCCCCTCCCCCGCTGTTCTCCACCAACCACTAACCTCCTCTGTTGACTCACTCTCATCCCAATCAGGTCGGTGTCCTGTGGAGGGTGACTAAAGCCAAAGGCAGCACTCCTCCTGGGGGGTCAAGGCGTCAGGCCAGCCCTACACCATCTCTGCTGCCCTCCCCCCAGTAGACCAAAGGCCAGCCCCCACCTGCTGAGGCTCGGCTTTTGTTTACCTACGAGGCTGTGTGCGATGGCCGACAGCCGACTCGGCCCTGACGGACGCGCTCTCGGAAATTTTCTTCACTTTCATTCACTGCTGTTTGGAAATCTCTCCCCCCCCCAAAAAAAAATAAACACTAAGGTCCCTTGAGGAAGAAAATAACAAATAAAAAACAAGAATAAATTACATAAAAATACATAAACAGGTTCAATGCGGAGAGATGGGTGTGGACACTCTGCCTGTGACCCCCGTCCCCATTTTATCCCCGTATTCTGCTGCACAGAACTAGCTCAGCGAGTCACACATGTGGTACTGAAGGGAACTAAACTCGTTATGAAATGAAAAGCCCCCCTACAAAGACAGAGAAAGCCTGAACAATGTCCCAGATGGAAATGTGTTACCGTGACCCAGGCACGGAATAAGAGCCAGCTTTGCAGGACGGCTGTGGGACCCTGCTTTGGTTCAACTGGGGATGAACTTTAATTGCTGCACACCATGGTGCCTCGTTGCTGAGATACAGCATTTTTCAGAGTGAAATTCTCAATCCCCACTGGTAGCCAGGGCCAAGAATGTGAATGAGCGGCAGGCCTGCGACTTTGTTCCCACCCCTGCTGGACAGACAAAATGATGAAAGGTGTTTGTCTTGTTTCGAGTGCGTGATCGCGTTCAGGTGCATTGTGGGAAACCGCAGGCCTTTAAATTTCCACCTTCCGGCTGCCTTTCTGTTGTACGTGGGGATTCAATTATCCATTGAGAATTTTTCAGTCAGAATGTGGGCAACTGAATTTGACAAATAAAGAAAAATTTCAAAAACTTGTGGAAAAGCATAGCAGTTCAAAGGACCCATTTTAAATACTGGAGATTATTTTGCTGAGATTTTTAGCATGTTTCTTCTAGAAATCATGCCGCTGATTTCTCTTTTCCCATGACTGTGACCAAGATCAGTGATCGTGGATGGATGGATGGAAGGATGGATGGAAGGATGACTTTTAATCCACATGTTGCTTTGTTGCCATAGATAATAAGTGTGAACTCATACACGCAATCACATGAGTCACTGCAGTGACGGGCAAATCAAAGGCAAAAAATAAAAAATAAATGTATTACAAAAACCTGCAAATATAAATGACCCCAGCAGGGGGCAGTATGATATGTTAATTTTTTACTGAAATCCTCCCCTTGAATTACGCCTTCCTCGCCCCCTTTGGGTAAACGATCCCAGATAAACAAGGCGGAAGCCAACTTTCCCCACCATTTACCCGCAGGCTCCAATTCAGGATGTCAGTGGGACCGTGGGCTGTGAAACTAGGCTTTATAATATGCCTGCCGAATCAGGTCTCAATTTATATACACAACCCGGACCCCCAGCCACTAGCTCAGGAGATCATGTCTGGCCAACTGCACTCCGACTCCTTGCCAGATGCATGTTCTTCCACGCTTTATCTCCAGGGGGCGCCATAGAGTACACACACTCAGTACTGAGAGCGTGAGAGGCTGTCACGCTCTATCCAACGCATTTGGCTCCCTTATAATAGCTTGTCAGGCTTGGCCTGGGCCATTATCTCCTTGGCTTTTGCGCATAGAAGCCGACAAAGTGGCCTCATTGTTGGGGGGGCGTTGCCAGTCAACACTGACAGCAGTCTGCAGGGCGGGAATTTCAAGATTACAGCCGTGTTTAAATAAATTTTGTAGCAGTTGATTAAAAATAAAAACTTTTTTTAACCACAGAGTGATCAAACCACTGAATAATTCAGTTGGTTTCCAAAGACGGCATGACTGGGAATTATAAAATCTTTCAAGGGCAGCTGAAAGTTCTTTCTGGGGGGGGGGGGGCGGTTGTGGTGCAGGGTCATAGTTCAAAGGAAGACTGTGGAGCAGCTTTGAAGATGAGATAATCACGGGACATGCAAAAAGGGGTGAGCGGTTTCTGTGGCAACTGGGGGGAGTGGAGGGGGTAGGTCAACATATTCTGGCCTTTAGGTGGGTGTCCGTGGGTGACTGAGGAAGGACTGGGGGATTAACTTCCGTGTGCATGCTGAGAGCAAAAAAAAAGAGTAAAATTTGGGCCAGACAACAAACCTGGAAGAGACCAAGGTTTCCACTCAGAGCCAGAATTAAAACATGGACTCCAGTTCTGACCAGGCCTGCAAAGCGTACGGGTGCGTTAGATCGAGCACTGAAGTACAGCGCAGACTGTTACAGGCACAAAAAACATCCACTCCTCGCTGAACCGCTTCCACGTGACTAATTAAACTTAAATCGGCATTACAATTATCATCAATTCGCCAGGAGCCTTTTTCAGAAAACACATTACATTCTTGCTACAAAAGGCTGCCACAAACAGTTATAATTAGAGTAACAGAGGAGCTGTTTTCATAGAACAGTATTAAAAAACTTACCACAGGCATGAACAGACATGTTAGTGCCCCACCCCCACCCCCACCCCCGCAGCCTTGCAGTACTACCAGGTCTGCTAGCCTTCCAGCCGGCCACATCAGAAGAACCGTTTGACAGTTTCAGTTATTTAAATTTCTCTTTGTTTCCTTTGTAATAAATGGTCTGAAAGTCCTTCTTAATAGATGAGGAATAGTGTCTTCAGCACAAGGGAAACACCAAAGATGGTGTGGCGACTGGTGACTGGCGTATGGGGGCTTTTCCCTAGCAAAGCGAGATCATTATTTTCTGTAACCTGAAAAGGAGGAGGATTGTATTTAACTTCAGAGATAATCAGCCCCTTCTCAGAGTTGTTCTGTTGAACAGTGAAGCGTGGGGGGGGGGGTGTCCAATGAGCCCATTACATCTCCCTCGTCTCCTGCCCTCAATTTAACCCCCCGTCGCTTCTCCTGAAAGATCCTGCGGATGAGAGCAGGCATGAATGAGGTCCTACCTAGCAGAGTGGGTGACACCCCGAGATCCGAACCTCCTCTCCTCCGCTGGCCCCTTTCAAAGCGGCTTTCCTCACACCGGCATGGAACACAAAGGAGACGACACTTTAACCGCCTTACGCCGAGGGCATCTCAGAACAATGCGGCCTCTGTGAGTCAGGGGGGCCTGTGGCATACTCAGAAACATCCCATAATGAGCCTCAACACAAATAGCCTGCTTAATTGACCCGGGAGCGTCGTCTCGAAGATGCCACAGAGACTCCGTGCGCCTTGAGCGTGGTCTTTGAGGAGATGTTTGGGTTTCAGAGCCCAGTTCCTTGACTGCATTGATGGTGGTTTTGTGGGGGAAGATTAGCAATAGGGGGGGGTGTAAGGAGACAGTTTAGGGGGGCAGTGGAG